TAAACATGAAAAAAAAAAACTCAAATGTCTTCATCAGTGCCTTACTTTCTCCCCTTCCTTTCTCTTATCTCCCTCTTTATTATGCCAATCTTTCTAGTAGGATTAAACTAAATCTTACCAGTTTACATTGTGTTAGAATTACAAAGAATGCTATTTTAGCCCTAGCCACAGCATTATAATAGCCTTAGTCTTAATTTTAAACCTACTCTAAGCTCTATCTCTAACCTTAACCTTTTTCCTAACCACAGCCTCAGCCCTGACCCTAAGCCTTCTCCCAGTCTTAAGCCTTGCCCCAGCCTTCATTGTAATCTTAGCTCTAAACTGTCTTGATCTGTAACACTTGTCCTAAAACTAAATATGATCAAAAACAATAATGTATCTGATTAAACAATAAACCATTCTGATATTTTTTTCCATTTTGAAATAGAAAGAGGGAATATTTGGATTCCAGGCTATTTTGTCGGTTACATTGTTTTGAGAAAATAAACAAGGAAGTTGACAAATTATTAAATTTCCAACAGTGAGCTAATAATATAAAAGCTACCATTTATCTTGGCCCATTCTGGAACAGTTTCTTTCTTTTTTAGTTTTTTATTGTTATTATTATTATTTAATACAATTTATTGACTTTGTATCTCAACTGTAGCCCCCTCTCTCATCTCCTCCTAGTCCCACCCTCCATCCCTGTTCTCCACCCCATGTCCTTCCCCTAGTCCACTGATAGGGGAAGGCCTCCTCCCCTACTATCTGACCCTAGCCTATCAGGTATCATCAGGACTATCTGGGTCCTCTTTCTCTGTGGCTTAGTAAGGCCACCTCGCCAGGTGTAGGTGATCAAAGAGCAGGCAATCAAGTTCATGCCAGAGACAGCCCCTGCTTCCCTTACGAAGGGTCCCAAAGATCATTCTCTGCAGGACCCACTGGGCTCAGATTTGTTGGCTCTGTTGGTCTCCTTGTGGAGCTCCTGTCCCCTCCAAGTCTTTCTCTCTACCCCTTCTTCGATAAGATTTCCAGCACTCTGCCCAAAGTCTGGGTATGAGTCGCAGCATCTGCGTCAGTACCCTGCTGGGTAGAAGCTTTCAGAGGCCCTCTGTTGAAGGCTCCTCTCCCGGGAACCGTTTCTTAGCTGTAAATCTCTCCAGAAAGTTCAATCAACAATCAACATCATAAGACTGAAATTTTGTGGAAAACAAAACAAAGATAAAAAGATAGGAATATATTTTAATTGCTCTGTTTAGTCTCTATAGTCAACGAATTTGAATTCTTGACAAGAGGCTGGAGATGAAAGAGGATGCATTACCAATGCTGAGTTACTATGGCATGCTAGCAGATCAAATAAGGGACAGGGGCAATTAAAAATGCTATTATTTCAAGAAAATAAGTGTGTGTGTGTGTGTGTGTGTGTGAAAGACTCATGTGGCATTTCTGTGCATACGCTCTGTGGTTGGGAGGTAATTCTTGCTTGTCGGAGGGTTTCATTTCTTAAAGACTTAAATGCCTCGTATATTTACTATCTGTTGGTTTAAAAGAACCCTGACTATTTAATGGAATGAAAGTCTATGAATTAAATAGTTATATTTTTTTTCTAATGGCATGGAAATTGGAATATTTTTTTTCTCAATGATTTGTAGATTTTTGAATTATTTTAATAGGATAGGAGCAGCTCGTGTCTGGAGAATACCATCCCCACTTACATCCAAACGCACTTTCTCTTTGTCCAGATAACAAAATCTCACGAGGGTTAGCATAGCAAAGAATGCCTCTTTCAAATTATCACCTAAAATGTGGTTATAATCAATTATCCTAAGAAGTTGAAACTTAAGATCGCATTCTTTGCATATGCCATGGTGTGATCTCTGCTAGCTCCTTCTAGCACTCGCCATGCGTGAATGTGGATCTCACACTATTATTTGTCTTTTATTGCGCTTGCACTTTAGATAGGGAAATATTGCTACTACTCTGAAATGCTGTGTACGAAGACATGAAAATTTGAAAATACAATGTGGTTATTTTGCCAGTGCTTATTGTGATACACCTTACAAGCAAAATCTTGTATATAACTATGCCCATATAAAAATCTATTTTTCATCAAATGGAACTAAATTATGGAGATTAAAATATCTGTGTTACAGAAAATCATTAATAATAGATATTTTTATTATTTTGACTAGAAAAGAATTGATTTCACCAGGAAACATTCAGAAAATAATTCACCAAACACAAAAGCATTCCCAAGGCAAGAACATAATGTTCAAATCTTTAAGCTTTACTTATTATTATTTTCATAAAAACTACAATATCCCACCAAATGTACTTTGAATCATTTATTAGAAGAAAGAGCCAAATTTGTTTCTGAGTCATGGCTTGGGCTTTGTGTGTAATTCTTTAAATTAGAGTACATGCTCTGGAAATAAGAATTTTTTAAAAGAAAACAATGTTGGGAGAAATAATTCAGATGGAAGTACTCAGCATGGCAGTGCAAAGAGGACTTAACCACTTCTTTTCTTTTCTCTTTTATGGCAAAAAAATATGTATATTTTTTTACACAATTTATTCACTTTGTACCCTGGCTGTAGCCCCCTTCCTCATCTTCGGTCCCACACTCCCCCCATTCTCCTTCCCTAGTCCACTGAAAGGGAGCATTCTCCTCTCCTGCTATCAGACCCCATGCTATCAAGTCCCATCAGTACTGCCTGGATCCTCTTCCTCTGTGGGCTGGCAAGGTCATCCTGTCAGGGGGAAGTGATCAAAGAGCAGGCCACTGAGTTCATGTCAGAGACAGCCCTCAAAACTACTCTGAGATTCAATCTTACACCCATCAGAATGGCTAAGATCAAAAACTCAAGTGACAACACATGCTGGAGAGGATATGGAGAAAGGGGAACCCTCCTCCCTTGCTGGTGGGAGCACAAACTTATACAACCATTTTGGAAAACAATGTGGCACTTTCTCATAAAATTGGAAATAGCGCTACCTCAAAACCCAGGTGTATCACTCCTGGGCATATACGCGAAAGATACTCCACCATGCAACAAGGACATTCACTCAACTATGTTCACAACAGCTTTATTTGTAATAGCCAGAACCTGGAAATGACCTACATGTCCCTCAAATGAAGAATGGATACTGAAATTGTGCTACATTCATGCAATGGAATACTACGCAGCTATTAAAAAAAAAGAAATCATTAAATTTGCAGGCAAACTTCAAAAGACCATCCTGAGAAAGGAAAACCAGAACCAGAAAGACACTCATGGTATATACCGACTTCTTCCCTTATTTTCTCTCTAGCAGAAAGTTCCCTAGGTTATTAATAGTGATGGTACTTGAATTTGATGCTTTCAGAAACCACATTTTCAACATGTATCAGCACGGAGAAAGCACTCTGAATGCAGGGAGGCAGACTTCATTAATACAAAGCAATTTTGCTAACAACCAGCACGTTTGCTTTAAAACACAACACATACATTGAGCAAATCTCATTTTCTCTGGAAGTCATTTTTCTCTGTCCATATCTGGAGGCCAATGAGTTATACACAGTTCTAAATTTATCTTTTCAGTGAAAAAAGTATTTAGTCACTCACTCTGGACTGACATGTCATTTAAACGTGTTCTTACAGTTCTACATAGTACATACAGACAGGCCATTGAGGATGCGGGAAGGAACCATTTTCTGATATAAACAGCAAATGAAAATTTAACTGTATTGCTTATTAACTCTAAGTCCACCCATCTAAAAGGCACACACTACACATGAACATTTGAAAAAGATGTAGATAGTAAGTTTCTTTTGCATCACGTTCCCCTGGTCGGACTTCCTTGAGAGGACACAGGGGAAGAGGACAAGCTCAGTTCTGATGCAACTTGATGAACTAGGGTGGATGGGAAAGGGGGCTCCCCTTTTCTGAGGAAAAGTAAGGGGAGAGAGAGGGAAAGAGGGGGTGGGACTGGGAGGGGAAGAGTGAAAGAGTTACAAGGATGCAATGTGAAGAAAATAAATAAATGAGAAAAAAAACTTTTATGTCTGTTTCCCTTCTTTCTATCTCTACAAAGGGGCTCTAGTATTTTCCTTTGATCCTGAAGAGGTGGCTATATAGTAGCAGAAGAAATAGTGACTGTTGGTAATTCTGTCACCAGACCTAGTGTTACTTCTTACCAGGTGGTTGAACAACTATGTTCCAAAAACTGGAGGCAGGGGACTGTTGGTGAGACACAAGTACAGAGAATATGAGATCTGGAGCAGGTCCCCATAGGTACTGGCACTCACAGCTTGCCCTGGCCTTGGCTGGTAGTCTCACTTGGTGTGAGGACAGTTAGGAATGGGGACAGGTATGGAAGATTTCTTCTTTTACCCAGTGCTGGCTTGATTCCCCCTTTACTACACAGGTTCTCACTCTTCTTAGTCTCGGGTTCCTTTCTCTGTACCCCATACTCAGTGCTTTAGAATGCCCCAGTTTCGCTTACACTTTACTTTCTCTTTATCTCGAGTTTTTCTCTCATATCTTTGTAGAAATTATTATCTGGTATTTATAAACATGTTAAAATTGCAAGAAAGTTAATAGTATAGTAGGACAGAAATAATACTAATGAAATATCTCCTGTGATACATCGATTTAAATATAAAACTCTGGGAGTGTTCCTACTAATAATTTGTTTAAGACAAAGATTGAATAAACAAGGATTGTGGGCTGTCAATCTATGATGATAACGACTCCTCCTCACTTGTCCTTTTCTCAAAAGAACAATTTTATATGAAATAGTTTTTCTTGTAAAACCCAGCTTCAAAATCTGGATGGGTGTTTGCTAACGTATTTTTCAATAAAATGTGATAATTACACCTTTGAACTTCATACTGAGAGACTGGCAATGAGACCTATGCTCTTTCAATAACAGCTACAACTTCATTTGAAAGAAAAAGCATTTTGGCTTTTCTCCGATATATATTTTTTTAATTATACAAAGCTGAATACTTCAATTACATTGTTCCACAACAGACTCACCCTGGCAGTGCACTCCTTCGTCAGAGCCGTCTGGGCAGTCTAACACCCCATCGCACAGTTGTGACAAACGGACACAGGCGCTGGTGCCATGACAAGCAATGTGATTCAAGGGGCACTTGATCTCCACCTCCTCGGGGCCTTTAGGTGAGAGGAAAGAAAAGTCTGTGTATCAGCTTTGTTTTTCCAAGCATAAAAATTAATAGCTTTAATTAGGAAATAACCCTGCAGACAACACTACTAGAGCTCAGCTCTGTTCTTCAGAAACATAAAGCTGTTCTGTGTGAATAGAAATCTCATCTTTTAAAAGGTCTACAGCACATGAAATGTTATACTTTTGTTTCAAATAATACGTTAAAACATAAATACACTTTTCAACCATTAACACGTCATGGATTGCCAGCCTGAGAATTGATTTTTCTCTGTCTATTATTTCTGGATAAATTTGGCAAGGATGTCAAATTTCTTCAGTCTCCATTTTCTTAATAGTGAAACGTAGTTAGAGGTAGTTAGTGACATTTTTTTTTCAAAACAATAACAATGTAACGATGAGAGTTGCCATTTATAAGTAACTTGTTTTCTGTTGTGAACTCCTAAAGGAGGAAAAGTGCTACTTTTTTCACTTTCACCACTTAAATGAGAGAAAGTAATAATGAAGGTATAACCAGAGTCATGTGAATTTATTGAATGTACAGGAGACTGTGCTTTTATAGAGTAAGGAAATATTTTTAAAAATTACATAAGGAAATAGAAAACAGTATTACTAACAGTCAAATATACTATTGAATCCCTATTATGTATAGATTACTGGTCTATGTGATTTGTTTGGTTAAAAAAGAGTATTTTCTCCAAACCTTTGCATTTTGGCTTACATAAAAAAAATGACTCCTCATGACTTAGCATTATATTCATAGATGAATACACCTTCTCAAGAGAAGATCATTGTTTTCCAGTAAATGGTTATTAACACAGAGACTCACACTTGTCAAAGTGTAAAGAATAAGCGACTGTGGGATGCTGTCTTTGGTGGGACATCTATATCACGCCTCCTTTCCTAAGGCTCAGGAGTCATTGTTTAAGAAGAAACGGAAAGAGTGTAAAACACGAAGGTGGTGATGGCTACAAGCAAACTGATTCTTTCAAACACAGCGTGGAGGCTGCTACACGTGTGAATGCGCAGTGCTTGTGATGCCTTGCACAAGGCCTGTGCCAAACCAGAAATCATCCCAACGTGGAGAAGACAATTGAGCATGAAGGTCTGCATCTAGCCATGGAGCTACTTGCAAGTGATAGGTGCTAGAAGCAGAGTCCTTTTTCTTTAAAGGCGTGGTCCTCAGAAGTTGACTGTTTTCCAGTGGAAGACCATATGTCCACAAATACAGGGGTAGGACAAATTGGATTTGAAGAAGAAAAACAGGAGACATTGTTGGGTAAGTAGGGAAGAGGAGTGGATCTGGGAGGTGTTGGAAGGGAGGTGAATATGATCAAAACAGATCACACCAAATTTTCAAAGAACAAATAAATGTACTTCACATTAGCTAAAATGTTGCCACTAACAGGATTCTCTGCAATGCTGAGGTATATTTATATACTTTCTTCCATATAAGATTACTAATTTGTAATATTCTTATGATGCAGAAATGTGAAATACATATTATATAATATTTCTTTAACTTGAGTATTCATTATTTCTACAACTACCTATTTGGTTCAAATATCTGTGTATGGATATATTTATATTCATAAAATACAAATATGTTTGAGTTCATAACAGATAAGGGTAAGTGAAGGATTGACTTTCTGACTATTTTATGATTAACATGACATAAATTCATTTAAAACAAAAATTATGAAACTATGAATATTGATGGTCAACAGTTATAAAGCAATTCTTGAAAACTAGGAATAAATGTCAAAGTGATGTTTAGGACAGTGGTGTATAGTGATATTTGTGTAATTCCCAACATGTGTAAAATCTGGAGAGATTTAAAAAAAATTATAGTAAGGAAATGGAAGTCAATTAGTAACTTAAAACTTGCACTTGTTCAACACAATGTAATTCCTGGGTAGGGCAATGAAAATATGACCATCTATTGATTGGCTGTGTGCCTCTGCATCTGTTTCCATCAGCAACTGGATAAGGACTCTCAGAAAAAAGTTATGCTAGGCTCCTGTCTGCAAGCATAGCAGAATGTTAAGAGAGTCTGGGGTTAGCTTTCTCCCATGAGGTGGGTCTCCAGTTGGGCCAGTCATTGGTTTGCCATTTTCCTCAATCTCTGCTCCATATTTATCCCTACACTTCCTGTAGGTGAAACAAATTTTAGATCAAAGGTTTTTTGGTGGGTTGGTGTCCCCCTCCCTCCACTGGACATTCTACCTAGCTACAGGAGGTGGTGACTTCAGGCTCCATATCTCCCTCGACTAGGTGTCTCAGGTAAGTTCACTCTTACAGACTCCCTTGTCACAAAGGACAAATTTCTGTTCTTCCAATCCTCCATCTTCTACTGTCCACTCTTCCCACATCTGACCCCCACACTCTCTCCCTCCCAGTTCTCTCCTTCCATCTACTTCAGCAGTCTCTTTTATTTCTCCTTCTGAGTGAGATTCAAGCATCCTTGTCTTCTTTGGGTTTGTGGATTGTAGTATGGTTATCCTGTTCTTTATGGCTAATATCCACCTACAAAGGAGGACATATTATGTGTGTCTCTCTGGGTTTAGGTTACCTCACTTAGGATGATCTTTCCTAGTTCCACCCATTTGCCTGCCAATTGCATGATGTCTTTGTTTTTAATAGCTGAATAGTATTCCATTATGTAAATGTACCACATTTCTGTGGAAGAGTGGAAGGAAGGATTGAGAGAGCTGCATGGATCAAGGACAGGACAAGACCTAGAGAGTAAGCTGGCTCCATGGGGGCTCACAGAGCCTGGACCATCAACCAAAAAAACATGCATGGACTGGATCTAGAAACACCCCTAACACACACACACACACACACACATACACACACACACACACACACACACACACACACACAGCAGATGTGCTGTTTGATCATCTTTTGGGTCCCTTAACAATGGGAATAGAGGCTGTCTCTGACTCCTTTGCCTGCCTTTGGAGTCAGGTTCTTCTAGTTAGGCTCCCTTGCCTGGCCTCAGGGTGAGGAGATTCACTTAGTCCTGCTGTGACTTGAGGTGCCATGATGGGTTGGTACCCCTTGGAGGCCTCCTCCTCTCTCAGAAGAAGAAAGGAAACCAGAGGGAGGGAGAGTGAGGATGGGAATGAAAGGAGAAGAGGGAGAACGCTAGGATCAGACTATAAAGTGATTAAATAAATAAAAAGACAAGAAAAATTAAAAGATAATAAGTAAACTTGATTTAAGCTAAGTGGATCTTATTTTATCTAACCAGTGTAGGTATTCTATTGCTATGTGCAATTAGCAATACACATGTAATGAAAGGGTGTTTCCGAAGGATGATTTGTGTCATTTTTCAAAAGGCTACTTTACAGTGGGTGGCTCTGAAAATGAAGTACTTTTGGTGGTAAATTATGTTTCCTTAGCCTCTACTTTGAAATAAGAACATTCTGAAAAACACATTTTGTAAGAATCTGTTAATAAAAAGACAGACTATACCCCAAAATATGAAAGCAAATATGACCATCTACAATTAGATAGCTATGAAAATAAAGAAGAATGCAGAAAAGATAGTCAAATTTGGGTCCAGAAGTAAGGTTCATCTTTTTACAAATTAAGAAAAAGGGCGTATCTCAATTATTACTAGACACACAATGATGAGAGTGTTCTTTACACTAACACACAGGATAAAAAGAGGAGCTGAACTTAAGCAGAGAAATGTGTGCTTTCTTTATACACCAGTTGAAGGAGTCTTCACTCTTGTCTCCATTTCCTCTGTTACCATGGAAACCGCAATGTAGCTCCAGCTTGGCTGGTTATGTTTCAGCCAATCCTTCCAAGACTCTCATACTAACGTATATCAAGACAGTCATATAAAACTGAAGGTTCTTCGTAGAACTGGTCCTCCATTTTGAGAGTTAAACCCACAGCTAATTATAATAGCTTAAATGCTTTTATCAATGTCAGAATTACTTAATTGGAACAGAGCAAAATCTATATAGATACATACATACACATACATACATGCTACACAGACTCCATACACACACACACACACACACACACACACGCACACGCACACGCACACACACACATTTCTAAGAAAGTATGGGTTCCCAAACAGATTTATAAAGGTAAATGAAGCATTGATATTTCTAATTATTTCAAATAACATATGTAATATCAACATGAAACAAATTCACTTAAAACTAAAATTCTGAAGCTATAAATATCTATCATCAACGATTATAAAACTAACCCTTGAAAATTAAGTGAGAGATAGCCATGTATTCATCAACAAAACTTTCCTTAAAGGCAGGGAATATGGGTATGTCACATGCTGGGGTAAAACTGATTCTTGATCCTCTATGTTCATGTGAGCAAAAACAATCCTATGATGTCCTTTTAGTCCCACCACTTCAGGAAGAGGAAAAGCGGTGTGATCACAGCTTTCAGTCAGTCATCCCTCTGTGTGACAAAAGCCTGTGATGATGGACTCCGTAGGCATCTCTTCCTTAAGTGGCTCATCTACATCGCAAAAGGACATCAGCGACTGGCCTTAATAGGGGACATGTTTAAGTCTCCAAGGTGTTAAGAGATTTGGCCCCACTTTTGTGGTTTCTGAACCATCAAGAGTTAAAAAAGAAAATGCTGGAATGGATTGAAGGACAAAGCAGCAACAGGAATTTCAAACAGTATATAGGCAGAAGTTTCATCACATATTTTTTTTTATAATCTAAACACTTCCAGTTCACTCAGACTAATTTTGTGTATTATTATTATATTACTAAGTAATATAAAATATTATTAAGTGATATAATAAAATTTAATATATAACAGTTAGACATAGTCTTCCTTATAAAATTTATATTATAGTAATTCTCAAATACAGTATTTACTCTTGAAATTATACAATGTGCCCTATTAGCTGAAATAAACTTCATTTTTTTAATTTTTATTATTAGTTACATTTCATTAACTCTGTATCCCAGCTGTATCCCGCTCC